ACTCTTGATCCACCTAGCTCAGTGTTGCCTATTTTTAGACACAGTTGTTTCCCAACCCCTTGAAAGATGCTCGAAATTTCGAATCTCCTGCATCAGACATAGGTTTTCAGTCATTCAGTTATAAAGCCTTCCCTTGATTATTTAGATTATCTCTGCATGGAAATCTATATCTTATATTTTTGAAACAAAAGATTCCAGGTAGATCTTACATTAAGCATACTTGAGTTTCAAATTATTAAATGTAATTGATATATTTATATTCTTTACTTTGTCTTCCAGGTTCTCAAAGTCATAATTACAGAGCCAAACTTCTAGAATTATTTTGATTCGTTTAAAGTTATTAATAAAATGTTGTTTGCTTCCCATAATAGTTGTTTGTGCCACCCATAGTTGTCTTCAATGAGATGGGCAACTATACAAAGTTTATATATAAATAATAACATACTTTATAGACTCAGTTTATCAAATTGTATTCTCTGTTAATAGAAGAGGGATTTTTCTCAACTTAACTTTATTGTATTGGTTCAGAATTTCAGGTTTTGCCCAATGCAGCAGAATCTTAGTGACTAGAAATCTATAAAATAGAACTCTTCAATGCCATGCTGTTTACCAGTAATTATTTGCAAATTAAGAATAACTAGTGGTGTTAGATGTGTTAAATCTCAGTGCAATGTGACTTCACATGTATACTGTTTTTCTTTATTTTTTCTTTAAAAATAGGATAAGCCAAGTACATTAACATATAGTGGAAATACACCAAGGGGAGGAGGAGTAGGGAAGAAGAAAGATGGGTAGAGAGGGATGGGAGAGAGGGTGGGGGGGAAGGCGAAAAGGAAGGGGGGGACCGGATCTGGAGAGAGGAGTGGTAGAGGGCGAGGGGAAGTAGGGTAGAGGAGGAGGATGGAGGGAAGATAGAAAGTTGGAGGGTGGGGGAAGAAAGAGGTGTATGAAGAATGGAAGAGGTATATTGGGCTTTTATTTTCTGGGGCATTGTTGACAAGCGGAATTGATGCAATTATTGTTTAATACTGTATGGTGTATACATGTGAGTGTATGAAAATGAAAATAAAATATATTAAACCGAAGAATAATTAGAAAAATGGAAGCCAGTTCTGATTGGCAGGTTCATTATGACTAAAGTAGTTTACTACCCTGTTTGTAGAATGAATTATCAATGGTAAAAAAGTGAATATTTTTGGGAAGAACAGTATTTGATAGGAGAAATATTTGACATTTTTTGTTGTAGTTAAAAATCCTTTTTCGTAAGTGAGCACAAGTTCGGCAGCAAGTTAAGCCTTTGACAACACTCTGGCTCCCACTTACAGTGCAGTACAATGGCTACATTGAGTATAGCTGCTGGGGAAGCCCTCCTTTCCTGCTGATTTTGTAAATGCAGTTCTTTCTCTGTGAAATATCCTGACATCAGCTTTTGGAAAAATCCAAGGACCAGTGTCATGGAACAGTGCTAAAGAGCTTGCTTCAACGAGGGCTGAATGGCTAGACTATAGCTGAAACTTTAGTAACTAAACTCTTACAGTTTCACTGTATTTATACTTCAGTTGAGAACCATTTCAGGGTAGTGATTAAAGGACAAGGCTAGAAGCTTGGAAGCAGTGAGTTTCAGTCCTGAAACCAGCTTTGTAAATTTGTTCGGTCTCACTCTCTCAGCTCTAGGAAGAAGGTAGTGGCAAAAACCACTCCTGAAAATACCATCAAGATAGTCCTTGCTTAGTGACCAGTCACTTAACTATTATTTCAAGTTAAAAGGTAAAAGGTTCTCCTCAAACATAAGTGTTAGTTGTTCCCAATGCTAGGAGGCAGTGCTCATCTCCATTTCAGAGCAGAAGAGCCAGTGCTGTCCGAAGACATCTCCATTATCATGTGGCCTGCATGACTAAATGCCAAAGGCACACGGAACGCTGTTACCTTCCCATCAAGGTGGTCCTTATTTTTACATGCCCACTCCATTACGCGGCGCTAGGGATTCGAACTGTCAGCCTTTCTGATCGACAAACTCAGGGTCTTAGCCACTGAGCCACTGCTTCCCTTATTTGAAGTTACAACAGTTGCAACAGTCGCAAAAATGGTTCTAAAATCAGGTGAAAGGATATGGTGATCCACTTAATAGCCATAATATCTTGACCAGAATTACAGGCCCTACCCCACTTAACTGAGTGCTACTTATATGTTCAAGAGTCAAGACTGGCTCAAATTTTGAAAAAAAAAAAAAACTTCAGCTGTTGCATAACACTTTTTCTAATATAGACATTAATTCATTACTTAAGGGTGGGATTCAGGGAGGCCCAACTTTGCATTTGATATGGCATTCTATGTATGATAGTGTGGTATATGTTTGAAAAACATACTGTTTTTATAATTTGCTGAGTAAGACCTAATGTTTGAAATGGGCTGAAAAGTTAGTGGAATATATTGTGCCAGTTTTGAACCCCTTTCAGACATCATACAATAATGCCTCCAGTGTTAGTCCTCCCTGAAGAAAAAAATAAATACTGTACACATACTTTGGATGAGTCATACAATATCATCTGATGTGGTCATCTCAAGATAATTTGTAAGGATTGTCAGTTGGCTGCCCCTCTCTGATTTCCTGTTTTGATAGTGCTGACTATCTCTGCCTCTTCAGTACATTGTTATAAGCAATACAATAGCAGTTGCAATTTTTAACTCAGCGCAGTATGAAACACCCCCCCTTTTTTAACTTTTTGTAAGAATCATCACACAATATCAGTGCAGTAGAGCTTATTTTGTAGAACTTCTCTTGAATAAACACAAAGCCTCATTCTAAGAGGAGTGGGATGATACAGTATTCACACTGGTGTAGTATAGTTTTAAAATAAGACTGTCCTCTTGTTCAAAACATGCCTGACATAACAGTTATTGAAAAGAAGAAAGTATACCATATTTTCTGGACTATAAGACACACTGGAGTATAAGACGCACGAAGATTTTGAAGAGGTAATTTTTTAAAAAAAGTATTTGTCCTCCAGGAGTACTGTGCAGGCATCCCAAATCCTCTGCCTGCCCCATTTTTTGTGAAATGACGCGTGGGAGAGTTTGGAGGCAAAAAACAGGATGTGCAGAGGGTTTGGGAGGCCTGTAAAGTGCTCCTGGGGGCAGGAAAGGCAAAAACACCCCCATTTTTGTGAAAAACGGGCCCATTTTCACTCATTTTTGCCCTCTGCAGCCCCCAGGAATACTCTGCAGACTTCCCAAACCTTCTGCACGCCTTGCTTTTTGCAAAAAAATGGGATAAGCAGGGCGGTGTTTCGGAAGGTCAAAAATGGCTGCATTCAGTGTATAAGACGCACCCAGATTTTCACCCTCTTTTTTGGGGGGGAACGGTGTGTCTTATACTCTGAAAAATATGGTGGTTCATCATTGTTGCTATACCAGATGCTAGTGTCGAAGCATGGGAAAAATTATGAAATACCGGTGCTTGAAGTTGATCTTGAACACTTATGGAAAAAGAAATCTGTTGATATTAAAGCCCTTGGAGTGATATCTAAAGGATTTCCTTGATATCCGGAACTATTTAATTTATTGAACCCGAACACCCTAATTTTACATAAAAACACGCTGCAGGGAACTGCCTATATTCTTAGATGCTGCCTAAATAATTCTTAGTGTGGTATGTTGGAAGGATAGTTTTACCTCCATGGTAATTTTGGTATTAAACCATGTATTCAGCATATAATCATCTTCTGTGAAATATCTAATTCATACGAGTCAAAATATTCCCTTTGTATATATGCTTTGTTTGTGATGGCATATTAAAGTTAGCGTTGGCTTTTATTGAATTATACAGAAAAGAGCAGGATTTTAATAAAGACAGGACATTTCTCTAAATTAATTTGTTATCTTGATCTTTTATGCATACTATCGGTAAGAGATAACATTTCACAGTGGAAGGGAAAGACTAACATTCTAAGGTCCCAGTCTCTAAGGAGTGGCAGTGCATAATAGCAATATATCAGATTATTTGTGGTTTTCTCTGTCTGTTTTGCTATCATTACTCTATTTGCTCGTCCCTCCCCTTCAGGATGGATGAAAGGAGGGAAAACCGGGAATCTGGCTTGCAGCCGATAAGGTTCTGAGAATCTATCCCAGAAGCCTTTTGTAAAATTTGTCCTCTTGACATTCCAAGTTTTGTTTGGAAGCTAGATTTTTATGTAGAAAGATGAAGGTAGAGAAAATAAATATGGAATTCTCAGTAATGCACTTCTAAATGTTTCTCTCTAAACCTAGAAACAAATTTGCCCTATGTTTTAGTAACAGAATTGAAAAGTGCTATAAATGCTAATACTGATCTTATTTAAGTTTTTTAAGCTTTGAAACAAAGCTGCTTAATTGCATTATAATGCTATACAGTTTATAGCCAATTTTCATTTGAGAGTTTTATGTACAGTAAAATGAGTTACTCAATTGTTTATGTGTGCAACAGATTCTTAAATACTTTTCTAATAGATGTTTTAAACAGCTTAGGATAAGGTGTATATTTGTTAAAATCTATTATATTGAATTTAGGAGTAAATTATTTTGTAGTTGATTGACTGAATGAATGGCTGAATTGTGTACTAGAACATTAGTTGTCCTGACAAATTTAACGATGCATCTCATTTTGTGGATTCCAGTAATTTTATGATAATGAATTATTTCAATAAGTAGAAGAAGTATGAATTTTTTCATGTGAAAGAAAGGAATAGAATATTTATGTAATAGAATCACTATCTGAAAGACACCTTTACAATTGTTGTGTAATAGAATAGAATCCCATGAGCATATCATGGGGTTAAAATCTTCCATCTTTCTTTAGTTTTTTTGTGGGAACCCAAACAACAGTTCAGATTTGTGCATCTTAAAATCAGAGTAATAAAAGAGATTATCCTTAAATGTATTACATGGAGGCCGACATTGATTTCTTGTAATCTGGAAACAACTTATATGGTACTAATTATTTTATTTGTTATTTTGCTTTTCAGGTTTCCCCTCAAAAAACCTACAAGGTACGTTTTTAAGGTTTGATTTTCTGCATCTACTAAGTAAGTTCTGGTCCTCTCCCATCTTGTACTAAACCAATACAGAAGGTTTGAGATATATTTAGGTGCACCCCACTAACCAGATTGAATTTATCTGAGACATGAGAAATGAACCATGGATTCCTGCCTTTGGGTAAATTATTTTCTCCGAATAGAAACAATATGGAAAATGGGCATATATTAATGGGGTTCTTAAAATTAGCTCAGTTTATGTAATGCAGTTTAAAAAATGATTTTGTTCCCCTTTCTGTTTGGCTTCAGGCATGGCAGCATTCTGAGCAGAGAGTCTCCAGCAGACAAGAAGCAGAAGGTCGAGCACTGCATTAGTGCCCATGATTTTGACCCAACAGGTAGAATTACCTTCACATCTCAAAGAACACCCAAATCTTCCTGTTGTCCAGCTTTGGAATTAAAAAGTTGCCAGACCTCTTTTACCAATATTCTTTTCGAGGGCAATAACAGGGTTTCTGCCCTTTTTTTTAATTTTCCACTTTAATTGCATAATTTTTGTCAGTGGGGTTGCACACTGTTCTTTATCCTTGTGTTTTTGAGTTATATACTTCTGGAGTTGCATAGCAGATGGCACTTTGTTTTAAATCTACCTAGAAAAGTTGAAGACCAAGGTAGAAAACTATGCATTAAAGAGGACATATTTTAATGTGCAGATTATATAACAGATATGTTTTAGTTTTCCCCTGTGTTCTTATTTTGATTCAGTTTGAGACACTGACTGTTCTTCTCTGTTTATTTTAGTTGGAAAACTAGTGTTGTGAATGTACCATCCTGTAGTACACTTTCTGTACTTACGAACAGAGCCCATTGTGAGCCTATTCTTTAAGCGTTAGAAACTCCAGCTTTGTTTGAGTGTAAAGCTTCAGGAAACAGATGTATGAAGCCTATCCAACAGTGTTAAACTGCATTACATTTTGCTCATTTGCCTGTGATTATACTCAATTGTATATATATATTTCCTTCCAATTAATAGGGGTGACAGGATTAGCATTGATCTGGCAGTGTTATTGCCTCTCAAGGCCATCTGCTGGGAAACTATGAGATCAGGCTGCTGGAATAGACAAGCCAGAGGTCTGATCCAGCAGATCATTCTTGTTTTCTTAAAGAAAAAGCCATATCACTAGCAATTAGCCCATGTGAGCCATGGAAATGAGGAACTTCACAAATTTATATTTATTTTGCAGGCTTTTTCTTGATTATGGTGCAGCAGTTTAAAAAGTGCAATGTTGTTCAGTTCACCTGTCTTTGGGAATTCCTTTGGGTGGGTCTTGTATTCCATTTTCTCTTCAGTACTCAATCTTGCTCTGTAGATAACTGTCTGTTAGTTTGCTTGTCTATGGAGCAAATGCTTAACATCCCTCAGCTCTGGAGCAGAGGAGTGTTTTCTTCTGAGTGAAGTTGAGCTCAATTATTTTATATTTCTATCAACTTTAACTGGACACATTCATTTTCTTTCTTTTGTTTCCCTGTACTTGTAGACCATCTGTATTGCATTCAGAGTCTAATGCTGTCTTGGAAATTAGTCTGCATGTGAAGGTTCCACCCACCCCAACCTACTAACCCAGACTGACTGCTGTATGCTCCTAACTGTGTGACTGGCTTTGCGGGTGAGCCTCTTGGCCCCACATGGTGTGTTGCTTTTCATTTGTGCAATTTAGCTATTCTGTCTGTTATTCTCCCAAGAATTTACCACAGATGAGAATAACTTTGACCATCGCAGAGTGTGACACAGGAAGATGTATAACTACAGAGAAAAAAAAACATATGCTGTGTTGGGATGAAATGTTTATTCCTTCTCTTTGCTTATACTTCACTAGATGAGATCTTGGGGGTAGCTCTAAGGCTTGAATTTTGGAGAATTGGCTATTCCCTGCATAACAAACATAATGTAGCATTTCCCCATCTGCAACATAAAAAGAATATTTCCTTAGAGTTTGACTGTGGGGTGAATGAAGTATGATCTTTTTAAGAGTTGGGCTTTTAATATAAAAGTAGCTGATATTTCCCAAATGTTGCCAAATTAGTACAAATGGACATTAAAAATAATTGAAATAAGAATAGCTGAAGGAATGAAAGCATATTTATACTTTTGTATGTCCCTACAGCATTGTGATTAGACATATTCAGGATCCTTTGACAGCATATCTCCTGAGAAGACATATCCATGAAGCAACACATCATCCTTAGCTATTTCAAGGATGGAGGGAAAAATATATATATTTTAAACTAACCAAGACTTCTCCCTTTCCCATTGTGGTTGGGATACTTCAAATATTAACTATTTTCTGGGTACCATTGGCAAATATAAGGCTTTGCATAAAAGGCTGTGCATTATATTTTTATATTTATAAAACATCTTTTCCAATTACTCTTTACTATAGAAAGGAGGGAGCTTGATTATGATGCCTTCTTTTTTTCTGTAACTTTACATTTGATGTTATCTATACAGTCAACTACTATTATTTCACATTCTGATTTCAGATGTTATCATCTCTGTATGCTCATATCTTGTTTGTGTTTTGCATGAATTAACCCAATTGTAGAAATCATTTTTAATGAAGTTTTTCCATGTTGGTCTCCATATTTCCTATATCTCTTTCTCCTTTTCTCCTGCTTTCGTGCAGATAGCTCCTCCAGGAAGACAAAGTATAGCTCAGAGGAGAGTAGATCCGAGACATATGGTAAGCTGAAGCAGCCACTGTAGCCTTGTGCCTTTGTTCAGTGTGTTCTGTTCAATTGTTCTGTACGCGCAAGGCCTCTGCCTTTTCCCTGCTATGCATGGCTAGCTTTGCATCAGGGGAAAGGACTGAGCTTTTAATGTGGCTTAAATGTGCAAGCTTGCTGGTGGATACTAACCTTTGTAGCGAATATTAGATGTTTTTTTATATTGTCTTCCAGGATCTAAATGACATCTTTTCTTTGGGTTGGAAAGTTTGAGGAATTGGCACTAACCATTATGTAGGTAAAACCATTTTCTGAAAGTGTGGAGTTGTACTCTTTGGAATATGATAGCAGTTTGCTTGAAAAAGGGACAGTCTTTTTATTTTATTTTTAGCTTCTCGGCCCTTGTGTAGGTACCTCTTTTATCATATGAAATATTTTAAAAATTCCATAGAACTGTAGCATGGAATGGATGACTTTCTAACTACAATGACATTTCAGTTAATTGCATGATAGAAACCTTTATAGCTTACCTTAATTTTTTACCTGCTACTATTTAACCCTATGAATAGTTGGATATAGCTTAAATTGAAACATCGAAAGCTGTTAAGATTGTTGCTCATAACCAGTTCCCAAAGATTTCCTTAGATTCCCCCCCCCCCAAAAAAAAACCCCTATCTCTTCTGTATAGAGACAGAAAGTTTTATAAAATACATACTTCTGTCCCTTTGATTTATAGATAAGAGGCTGCAGATATATCCATAAAAAAAGGCTCAGCCATCTCTTTAAAAACATTTTTTTTTAAAAAAAACTTTGTTTGCAACTGTGGTTTTATCAGATTAAAATCCTTTTATGGTGATTTTATATAGTCCCTTTGCAGCTATTTGCACATTTTTCTACATTCAGAAAAACCATTTACATAACAATTTAAGAAATTGCAATGCAATGCTATTGTACAGAGGTGTAAGTACTAGTTTTAGTCTTTCCTAATGTACCACTGTGAGAAACCACTGCATAACAAAGGGTTTTTTTGTGTGCTATATAACTAATCTATCTTGTTTATGGGAATATTTAGTATGCGTATTATCATTTATCTATAGTTTGTTTTCTCTGTTGCATGCTGTATCTTGACTTTTCATAAACATGTATAATAAAGCATGACTTCATAACACAACCCGTTTCCTCTCAGACTTCCTGCAAAAATTCTATGTTCAGTTACAATTGAACTGTGAAAGCTCCTCTCCTTTCCTTGCAGTAGTCATTTGCTTTCCTAGGTTGCTTCCTTTTCTCCCTCTTCTTTCTAGTCCTGAAATCTGTCGGAAAGTTTGCAATATTTGCTTTGGATAGGAGAAGCTATTTAAAAACCTTCCAGCAGAAAATACTGTGCTTTATATTGCTGATGACTGCAGTCTTTCTGCTTGCTTTTGGACATTGGGAAAAAATATCTAAAAGGGTCAAAGGGGATTAAGGGTGTGGCAGTTACCTTTTTGAGATGAAAACTATTGAAATTCCTTTTCTGAATGAAAGGTCCATAGACCTTGATTGCTGTATGGAAAGATGTAAAGTAAGTAAGGAATGCCATTTTAGTGTGGATCAATCTCTTTCAGTCTTTCTGTTTCTTAACACCTGAAAGGATGTTTGCTATAAAATGGTTAAATGTTATTTTCCTTTACATTCTGAAAGAAGAGATCTACAGCACAGTTCCAAGCCTTTATCTTAAACCTGCATTATTTGATAAATATTCTGGTTTGATCTCAAGGAAAGTAATTTTAGACATTTAAATGCTTCTAAGAAGGCATGTTGAAATCAAGTTATTTACAGAAATTGTAGTTTCCTAACCAAAAAAACATACAGATCTTGAGTTAAATGTAAACATTTATGGCATAGTATGACTTAGTTTTATTTTTAAGTTATCAAGGCATTCTAATCACCTAGCCATTAAGATTACTATTTATTTCAATCAACTTGACAGCTTTTAAAACACACTGTTGCATATACTAGATACCATGTAAACAAAAACTAAGGTTCATAAATCTCTTATACATTTGCTTGCCTTATTTTCCAGATGGATACTTTGTGCTATTCCATTTCATTTATTTAGGTCTTTATCATAGCTATAAGCAATAACTATAAGCAAAAATCATACTTTAAAATTCTTGGTTCTGCTTTTATAACCACAGTATAACATAATATCAAGGTATGAGTGAGCAGTTTCAGTCAATAGAAGATCTTCATCTGGATCAATACCTGTTCCTTTTTTAAAGGTTGTTCTCTTAAATTATATTTATGAAATTTGCTAGAAAGTGTCACAAGGCATCTATTCTAAAACATTTAATCAATAGCAGTTTTGGAAACAAAATTAGGAAGATATTCACAGAAAAACTAACTATTCATGATCATGATTGAAATTGCTAAAGGTTTTTCTTGGAAGATGTACTTACTCCTAAGTTTTGTCTGTTAGGCAATTTATATGAGTAGTGGTTCATTTATTTGGCTTTACTTCTTCTCTATACTTTACCTTCAATACCATGTTTTTGAATTAAGGCTAATATTTAATTCCTTACAATCAGAGATGAAGTGATACTCAAGATTTCTTTTGTTTGGAGATTTTTTTAAAATCAGAAATATAACCAGTTCTATTCTGTATAGAACAACTGACACTACCTTGATAGCATGGTTAAACCAACTATACAAACCAGAATAAACTATCCAATTAGCCTTCTTTGGGAAATAGTCCATAGATATCTTGTGCTTGCATTTTTATTTATAAGTATTTTGTTAGAGGTTTAAAAAAAATGAAATTAGTGCATAGGCAGAGAAAAAAATGCTTCAGTTCTTATGTGTGAGCAATTGCTTACATAATGAATTTTCAAACTACAGTATTTATCAAAAATTATTGCAGTATCAGATTTTATTCTTATTAAAAGTTGGTTTACCCATCACATATGTGCTCTAAATAGCTGACTTGATAGAGCTCTACCCAGTGATGTTTGCATGAATGCTTTAATTTTGCTCTAGTATTACATAATTTTGTATTTAAAGTTAATTGGCCAATTATCTGAGCAATTGGATGTTTTGCACTTTTCTCCCACTTTCTTATTCAGGTCAATTATTTGTCTTAGTTATGAGGCAGCTTCCAAAATATACAGCCACATTTTAATGAAAAAAAATCAATCCATATCTATTCTACTTTATTATCCATGTATCAATGGACTGTTACCCAGGGTTTACCCAGAGCAAGACACAAAACATTAAAGTTAATCTTCACTGAGTTTGCATAGTATTTACCTCATTAAATAGAGAAATCCCCTTTACAATTATTGTAGCTTTCAGCTATTTTATGCCTAATGTTATGACAAAAGAAGCTACACTGTGAGCAATCGGGACACCATATCTAATAAAAGAAACATCCTTTTGTTGTTCTTTTGTAGAATCTGGGCAATAAGAGCCTATTACCTTGACAAATCTTTTTCCGCACAGTGGGAAGAGACAGTGAAATAGGCAATTTTCAATCTGGAATTGGCAATATCTTTCAAGAATCTCTGCATTACAAAATGCAATGATATTACCCTGCGATAGGCCTGGCCCAGTTTATAAGAAGTGCTATTAATTAAATAGCCAGCTGTTTTGGTAGTTTGTTGCCAAGGTAACACCCTGTGAAACAAATCTAGACTTTGATGATTGGATCGTCAGTTTTAAAGTCATACCAAAACAAAAAACAGCTCAATACCTCAGCTCCTTAGTGTGATTCAACATAATTGTATCCATAAATCGGAGAGAATATGAGTGGAATCAATCACTGTGTGCTGAGTCCTTGTGATTCCCAAACGCATCAATGTATTGCTTAATTAGGAGCTTACTATCAATTAATGAGATGCATCCTTGATAATTACAATTTTTGAATCTGAGCTGTCTCTGAACATAAACGCACAGAAAGGTATTTGGAGTTGGACACCGAAGAAATCCTGATCCTCTTTCATTGGTTTAGCCCACATCTGATTGAAATGATTGACTTCTCTTTGAGGGGAAAAAAAGAAACAGATTGCATCCTTTGTAATTAAGGTTTTGTTGAAATATAGGTAATATATTATAGCTGCAAAACATCTGAATGAGTACAAAATGGATCTTCGTGGCATTTAATAGATTAGCAACTTGACTGATCATTCCTCGCAGTTGAGTGTGCAAGGCTGTAATTTACTTTGTAATAATGAGTTCAAAGCATGATCAGCTTCCACTCCCTGAGAATTTAAATAGCTTATTAGTGGTTACTTTCCTGCTAGTGGAAATATGTACGCACATTTGAGTGAATCTTACGTCCTTTTTGAGAATAAGACATTTCAATCCATTTTACTTGGAAAGATTATATGTATGGGATGATGCAATAGCAATAGTATTTAGATATATATACCCCTCCATAGTGTTTTACAGCATTCTCTGAGCACTTTATAAATGTCAGCATCTTGCCCCCCAAAATCTGGGTCCTCATTTTCTCGACCTCAGAAGGATGGAAGGCTGAGTCAACTTTGAGCTAATCAGGATTGAACTCCTGGCAGTGGGCAGAGTTTATCTGAAATATTGCATTTTAACCACTGTGCCAAACTATGGATTTAAAGAAGAATTTTGAAAAGATATTTAGAATATGATCAATGAGGAGGGCTTGGTTCTCTCTGAGCTTGGTTGTTTTCTTGCAGACGTTTCACTACCCAAACTAGGTAACATCAGGTAACATAAGCTCAGAGACCACCAAGGACCCTCTACAAATATTCTTCTTTATTAAAATGATCAATGTACAAAGCAAACTTCTCCTTGATATCTCTATTTCATGTTAGCAGTACTTGAAAGGCAACTGCCTTACTATCTTCTGCCTTCTATCCAAATCTTCCATGTTTGGTTTTCTTCCCTTTGGTGGACTTTGAGAAACTTTCACCAGCATATGATTTTTCTCTGATGCCTACACTGAGGTCTCCTTGTCATCCCCCCCCCCTCTACAGGTCTAGTTCAACGATGTGTTATCATTCAGCGGGATGAAAATGGTTTTGGGTTAACAGTCAGTGGTGACAATCCAGTCTTTGTACAATCCGTCAAGGAAGGTAAGTAGGCTGATTCAGGATCACTGTGTCTGTTATAGTCCTATCACACAAATCTTGCAGTGTGCAACTGTAATGCATGAAATATAAATGTGTTGTGTGCTGTAAAAACATGCTTAAGTCATTCTTTGTTCAGTGTGGCCCTTGCACACACTGCAAGGAGTCTGGCAGAACATATTCCAGCAAATACATTTTATTAAAAGGGATGAGTTTTTGTGAGCCGAAGTTCCCCAAAAGCTTATGCCTTTTAGTAAAACATGCTAGTTGGAAAAGATGCTACCACACCCTTTCTAATTTTTTGCTAACAAGACTCTTTTTTTTACAATACCTTGCATAACTGGAAATGCTAGAAATAATGTATTGAATTCTAAGTAGTTGATTCTTCTCTCTAGATGGAGCAGCCATGCGGGCTGGGGTTCAAACTGGTGACCGAATCATTAAGGTAGGATCATTAAGTGCTGGAAAAATAAATTGGAAGGAGGTGAGAAGTAGGAATGCTTCAGTAGTTTTCATCACTGTATATATTTTGCTAAACCTAACCTCTTGGGAACAGTTTGAAATGCAGGCTGTCTATCTATATTTAGAATTAGCAGTACAAATAAACCCTTCTTTTGATGTACAGGTGCAGTGAGGGGTGTTCATTAAAACTGAATGTTAAGTGGCAAATTATTTTTTTCCAAACAAAACAAAAACCCAGGCCTATACCAAAAAGGGGGGGGGGGTTGAATTAGAGACATAAAGAGGCAGTCTGAGCATAGGTGTTTGAGCATCTGAAGTCCATTGAACTTAGTGCTTTACTGTGAGCAATAAGTGCCTTTTTCCAGCTGCTCTTTAAAATAATTTTGCTTTGTAGGCTGATATAAATGGCACTCGGTTCCAACTTCATGCCCTAGGCCAGTGTTGCTGAATCTTTTCGGCCCTCAGTGCCGAAATGGGAGCGGGCGTGCACGCACGGGGGAGCTCTGGAAACCAGAAAAGCAGTTTCCCGGCACCCATGTGTGTGGCAGGAAACTGAACTTCTGGTTTCTGGCATGTGCATGCACACCGGTCAACCTGGTCTTCCGGTTTCTCCCGCACATGTGTGCGTGAAGACTAGATGGCTGGCGCATGTGTGCCAGGAAGTTGCTCTTCCGGTTTCCGGCACTCCTGTACACATGAAGACCAAGTAAACCTGGAAGACCAATGGGCAATGGCTGACGTGCCTGGAGAGATGGCTCTGTGTTCCACTTCTGGCACACGTGCCATAAGTTTGCCATCACGGCTCTAGGCCTTAAAACCTGATGGAAAAAAAAGCCAGAATTCCTGCTTATAACGGTGCAGTTGATTTTTTTTCTTAATTAGCCCTCCGAATCCGTAAAATTTGGTTGCAGAGTACTGTGCCCATAAAAACAAAATGCAGTATTTTTCTGTTTTACAAATATAGGCTCTGTATGCTGATCTTCTTTTTTAAAAGAGGTGGCAGAGTCATGGATGATACTTTTGTTCACCATGATATTGGGACAGATTTCCTAATAAAGAGCATTAAATCAGTTTAGCTCTGTAGATTAGGAGTTTGGTTGTCTTAACCCAAGCTGAAAATCAAAATAAGTTCATTTGTTATCTTTCGGTAGGTGAATGGAACTCTGGTAACACATTCCAACCATTTGGAGGTGGTTAAGCTGATAAAGTGTAAGTAAATGCTTTTCAAGCTGCTTTATGTTAAACTAGGCTACGTTAAACTCTACATATTCTTTTAAGAGATTTCAGCAAGAGATGATGGAAATCAAAAAACTAAGAGTGTAGTTTTGAAAAAACATTTTCAAGAAATCCTCAAGCCTGTTGAATGTGTTTTGATTGACAGTTGTCTTCCACTTTTCTACTGTGTTATCCCACTTTCTATTTTTGTCATGTCGAACATCCGCAATTGATCCAGTTGCCTGTCTTTACTGAGTCCATATTAGGGCTTTGCTGTTATGACGCTGTTCTGATTCATTTTCCCCGCCTTCTCCATTCTACTTCCCTAAAGAAAAGTTAGCATCTTTCTTCCTCACTTTCTCTTAAAGAAACTGAGGGCTATAAACAAGCTGAATAAATTTGACATACTTGAATTTATGATCAGGCAGGCAGATTGGATCACTGACACATCTCAGTGATGTACTGAATTAATCCACCTATGCAAAACAACTATTTGCCTTTTCTCAAATACGTATATAATTCTGCTTCCTTGTGGAGGAAGAACTTGCCTTTGTATGTTGCCCTTGACGTCAAGCCGTAGTAGCCCTTCCGTGAACCCCATTCTTTTATTTTGAAACAAACAGGAAGTATAATTCCAGTCTTCCTTGTCCCTCGTCTCCCAAATAATGGCATTTCATCTTCTGTCTGCAGCGGGTTCCTATGTAGCGCTCACTGTGCAGGGGCGCCCACCTGGGTCGCCCCAGATTCCACTGGCTGATTCTGAGGTGGACTCAGCAGCTGCCTTTGGGCATATGTCTCCCATCATGACATCACCTCACTCCCCTGGATCCCATGGGAACACCGAGAGAATTACCAGTCCGGTGCTGATGGGGGTAAGATATTCATTGATTTTGATTGGACTATATGGCTGGAAAAAGTTCTTTGCCCTACTTTGCTTGCGGTTAAGATACCCATTCCGGAACTCATCACTCTCTTGATTATTTTATGTGTCACAACAGAATCATTTATGTGAAAAGTTTGAGGAGAAGATGGAACTAAGATAGCACTAGAGGGGGTGTTTGCAATTGGTCTGATCTGCTGCTCTGGATAGACAGATAAACATACACACACACACACACGTTCATGATTTTCTATTGCAGTAGCAGAGAGAGGAACATTGGAATGGGAATGAAATTGAAATAATAGTTGAATCTAATTAAAACTTAGTTAAGGTTTGTTGTGGTTGTGCTTAATAAGGTTGTTAGACTTGTATGTTGTGGGAAATCTGTTTGAGTTGAGTCAGACTGTGAAATGAGAACTGGCCATCTTTTCTTTTTAGGAGGAAAATAACATTGTTCACAACCAGAAAGTAGAGATTTTGAGGAAGATGCTACAGAAAGAAGAGGAACGACTGGAGGTACCAAAAAGGAAATTTAAGAGAAAGTCGGGGGATGCCATTTAACCTAACGTAATTTTCTGTGTTCTGTTTGCCAAATAGAAAATGCTGCTGGTAAGAAACCAGAAAAACTTGGGAGGCGGAAATTCCTTGTTCAAATCGATTGAATGGCTGTTCCCTTTAAGCCAAGATTGGAGGGGCAACGACCTAACATAGTTGTAATCAGCCCCGTTTAGAAACCCGTCTCCCATCCAGTCTTAGATTAAATCTGTCTTGAGTTTTAGAGGAATAAGGGGTAACATCTCATCAGTACTCCTTGGGAAGCCGAGTTCTCATTTCATACAGTGGCCCAGGCATTGTATGAAAGCTAATAGGGCTTTCCTGGGACTTCCTTGCTTGGGCCAGTAACTGGTCCAACCTGGCCTTCAAAACCAGGAACCAGGGAACTACGATGAGAGGCGATTCCTCTTATCCTCGAACCCTTTCAGTTCCTGCAGGAAGACTACAACCGCACTCCGGCTCCCCGGCTGCTCAAAGACATCCAGGAAGTCAAGAAGCACATTCCTCAACTGCAGGAGCAGCTGTCCAAAGCAACAGGCTCGGCTCAGGTAAGAGGAATCGGGAAGCTTTTATGGTCCAGATCTGGGCTGCCTTAGCTGGGAATGCTGGGTGAAGGCGAGCTTTTTCCCATCCACGCCTTGCAAGCAATTCCCACGAGCCCATTTAGTCTTCCAAGGATAGCAAATCAAAGGATGCGCAAACGAATGCCAGCACTGGCCTCTAATTTAGCTCATAGAAACTGGTTTTGATAGGGAGAGCATTGTATGCAGAAATTAAAGCCTTGCGATAAGGAATTACACACACTTGTTACTTTGCTAAGAGAGAGTGGTTTCAGGGTATTGATGCTATAGTTGCAGGCAAGGATGTCTCCGCTTTTATCTTTTGGTGCATCTCTTTAAATAATGAAGAAGCTGAAGGGGTATTATTTGTTTTGCTTGCTTGTTTACAAATAATTAAATTGTTCTCTAAGCAGGTGGCCTTGCCTGTTTCAATGTTTTATTAAGGTGCCTGTTGTTTCTTAGCCTCCTTTTTGTCCTTTTTCAGGATGTCATTTTGTCTTCCAAATCTATATCCGAATCTTTGCAGATCACTGAGGTGGAAGCTGAGAGGGGGGATGGGCCAAACAGAGGAGACTGTCATTTTGGTGATGGCCCCCAGGTGAACGACACAGCAGAGGTGAGCTCTTGACTGGGGAGGAAAAATGCTGTTTTATTAGTGAGATGTGGCAAAGCTCTGTGTCTCCTCAGCCAAAAGGAGAGAGATTCTAGCACAGGTAATCCTCCACTTAACATCACAATTGGGACCAGAGTTCCCATTGCTAAACAAGGCTGTTATTAAATGAATCACACCTAGTTTTACAACCTTCTTTGTCATGGTTTATTAAGCAGGTAATTGCAGTTAGGGGAATCCTGTAGTCATTAAATGAATCCCAGCTTCCCCTATTGACTGGGCTTGTCAGAAGCCAGCTGGGAAGATCGCAAATGGCAGTCGTGTGACCCTGGTGTGCTCTAGTCATTGCAAATACATGCTGGCCGCCGAGCATCCAAATTTTGATCACGTGACATGGGGATATTGTAACAATTGTTAAGTGTGAAGACCAGTTGTAGGTCATTTTTTTTGTTGGAACAAGTGCTAAACGACTGGTTTGGGATTATCTGTGTATGTGGAATGCTGTTACGTTTATTTATTTTGTTACATTCTCTGCCCTGACAGTAAGAAGGTAGAAATGTTTACAGGTAGCAAAGCAGCTTCCTGATTGAGCTGGAATTTCCTGTTTGTCCTCACAACAGCAACCCTATATTTGTGACATTTTATTCTCCTCACCCTCCTCCTTCTCCTTCTCGGTTGTTACATTTAAAAAAAAAACATTTGGCAACTGTGTATCTCCAGATTTAATTATTAGTAGCCAACATAGCTAGAAGTAGTTCAGAAAAGCCTGTATTTATGCAGTCTTTTTGTGAGAAAGCGTTTTTGGTGGATAGAAATTTGGGTTTTGCTTTGTCCCATTCATCCTTTATCAAGGGATTTTTGTAATGCACTGGTTAATATTTCTAGAAAACGTTTGAAAATGGTAACCTCATAAAAGGATCTGAATAAACAAATCGAGCATATTTTCCTATCTTTGGACATTCCTTCTGGTTGGAGTGAGGTAAACATTTGACCTGGGTTCAAGGGATGGGTCAAAAGCTGTTGACCCAGTCCTGCAAATTTGGAGGTAACTGACAAGACTAAAGTGTGGCAGACTCTGTGCACAAGTAAAATCCCGTGTTAGTTCTCTGAAGCTTTGAGGCACAAGAACTTGTGACCTCTCCAAAATATGAACTGTGGAATGAGCATGACATAAGCTCACATTGGTTAAATTCCTGCACTTTGTGTGTATGTGCTTCCTGTCATTACAATTGACTGGTTAACTTAGTGTGGTCTTCCAACTGGCCCCACCAATGAATTGCAGTGGTTCTGTTGTAGGGCAATAATTCTTGTGAACCAAAACTGTTTATTGCCACTGTGAAGATTAAAATCGGCATTGTGGTGTTACTAGTAGCATCAAATTGGACAACCTTCATCTGGCAGAATCTGACTGGAGATCTTGAATCCACTGTGGCAAAAAAAAATACGATTTCTGGTATTTTGTGAGCTGGTTTTGGAAATTTCTTATTTTTATTCCCTTAAAGAAACATTGAACCTTATGGAGTCTGATTTGAGATTGTGTTTCAAAAGGAACTGGAATATTATTAGAATGTGCTATGTTTCAATGCCTCGTACAGAATTAAAAACAACCAGAGAAGACATTGAAATTAGAATTATCAACATTTGGCATGTATACAGTGGAACATGCAAAAACAAAGTTAAATGAAGGGATCTAACAATATGTATCCCAAATCTGTTTTTTTTTTAATTAGTCTCCTACATCCTCTTTAAATTATAGCTGCTGGACTTGATAGGATCTTTTGTTTGGTCCTGCTTTTTAACATAGTAAATACTGACTGGAACGTTCTTTCACTTCTTCTTCTCCTCCTCAGAGTCCTCGCAGTGTCTTGAGAGAGCAGAGCTATCTGGATGACAGCCCAGAGAAGACTGAGACTCACGAAACAGTAAGAGTACCATGAATATTCGGATATAAATTTCTGCACTAACCACAAACTTTGTGTTTTTTCTTCCTCTTTCTCTTCTTGACTTGCCACTTGATTTTTGACCTGTAGGTGCATGCTCAACTTTTAATTAGGTTTTTATCAATTTAAACTACTCAGAGATTTAGAAATCCACATCACTTGTTTCTTCTGGTTTGGATACTTCCATCTGTTAAGATTTTGTAGTTGGCAGAGCAACTTTCTCATTACAGTTTATGGAGAATGGCTCCGCGACATTTGCTTATCTGCAGGCATTTTCAGGTTCTGTTTCCAGCACTTCTGTCCCTGGTGACAAAGCTGGGAAAGATGTCTGCCTCTTACCCTACGTGGGGTCTCCCAGTCTGCTAATTTTTTAATTGTATGAGAGAGATAGAATAATGCTCTTAGTCTGCATGTACACTTAACAAGCAACTATTTCATTATATCTGTGGTCTGAGTTCCTAACTTGGTAGGCAGGCATTTTTATAACAATGCACAACGTTTGCAGGCTCTAATACAGGGATGTCCAACATTGGCAGCACAGCTGGCTGGGGTATTCTGGGAATTGAAGTCCACAAGTCTTAAAGGTTGCCAAGGGTGGACACCCCTGTTCTAGTTTATTTTCTCTGGAGTGCCCTTGACCTGAAGAGGCGAAGGCAGTAGCCATGCTTGACTAGTTCTGCCTTGACATTAAGGAAGCGAATGTATGTCTTTCCTGTGAGGAAAGAGAACCGGCTATTCTGAAGGCTTCAAAGACATGCAGAGAGTGACCTCACGGTATTATGTCAAGAAGCATCAGTTGTAATAGAAACACACCATGCAACTCTGTATACTGAAAACATTCATGGAACAGGCCTCTTAGCTCAAGTTTTCACCTTCTAAAAATCCACCACGTCTATCCACCAAATCAAGTGACAGAACACCCGTTTTCCTTAAGCAAAGAAACTTTGTTTTTCCCATGGTTCTGTATTTTGTTGGGGAGGGTTTATTACTGGACTGGCATGGCGGTGTTCCACATACCAGTTTTTAATTTACTTAGCAGATGTGTATCCTGTTTTCCAAAGTCCTCAAAATCAGATGACAATGTTTATAAGCGTATAACAGATTCAGCAAGAATCACACACTGCAAACACAACAAAGCAGCCAGCTCCATTAAAACGGGACCTGACATCTGACTTTTTTTCTTCCTTACAGGGCAGTTTGGGTTAATGGCTCCACGGTAGGGAGGGAGCAGTCCAGCTGGAGAGGATGTAGGCCCCCAGTGTTTTCTTTGCCTCCCCCCTCCTTCAAATTCCACACTGCCTTTTTTTCCCATTCTACACTCTACACTCCTCCATATAACAGTACTTCAGTGAAAGTACCAACTTCTGTAGTGGCTCAAATATTTGGTTTAAGGGCAGGCTGTGCAGCTGTTTAACAAAAGCTATCTTCACTTTCAGTTGCTGGTTGCGTCATTTGGTTTAATGAACAATAGCGCTTTTGATAGAAGACTTCATTTTTATTTGATCGGATTATTTTATATAGGTGCTCACACTATGTACAGTGTACTGGAACCAAAAAGTATAATGCATATCGACAAAAAAAAAAAAATTCCCCTAAGATTTCTTAAAAAAAACCTTTCTTTTCTTCTAGTGTATAGAACAGCAAGGGGGAAATGCCCTTGTCATATTCACACACACTGAAATAGAAACAACACTGATTTCTTTTCTCTGATAATGCCAGGATTCTCCATCCAGTCTTGGAAGCCCTTCCTCTCGTGTGGCACCTCCAATCATAGGAGCAGAAGATGATGACTTTGATGGTGAACAAGAACAGGTAGGATCTTAGCCTGCCAACCATAACTGCAAAGCTGTCATGTGATTACTTTCTTCAGCTTAATTTATCTGACCTTCCTACCACCATCGCCACCCCACCCCAAAATTTGGATAGAGGATTCATTTTAAAGAAATTCTGTTGACGTTTTATTGAAAGATACACTGCTGTTTTCCAGTAACAACTTCCATTTCCTAAAGGTTTTGTGAAATTAGTTTTGTATACTTATTTGTAATCTTAGTACTTTACACTGATTACAAAGTATAAGTATATAATTATAAGATTTATCAATATAAAGTACCTTACCTTAGACAACTTAGTACCTAAATTGTCTTATCTGGTTTGAATTTTGGTGGCAGCATCTAAAAACTTCTTTCTCAATATATATGCCTTTGGTTCTCTGGAGATTCATAAGGGAGTCTCAGAGAAAGGGGTTTGTAATTTTAAAATATTAATGATACACATTAGAGTGGGGGTTTTATGTTGAGTTAATGATGGAAGAAATATGAGTGCTTGGAATTCTCATTCTGAAAATGTCCATGCTGTCTCTACAGATCAACGGGCAGTGTAGCTGTTTCCAGAATATAGAGCTACTGAAATCACGTCCCGCTCACTTAGCTGTCTTTTTGCATCATGTCATCTCCCAGTTTGACCCTGCTTCTTTGGTAAGATGCCAGTTTACAACTCATTTCTGTGTTATGGATCAGATGGGTTCTGAATTCCCATTCAGCCTAAATATATCTATCCCCATTTGTCACCTCCCAGCTGTGTTGAACCAATTCCAATTTCACCTCAGCCCCCTACAATCTGTCAGGCAATTCAACAGATGTGGAGGATACCAGTTTGAGGAAGGCTGATATTAATTTGATTGGGGGGGAAATGCTGTTTTGTTCTGATACTGTAAATGTTGCACAAAGCTTAGTCACAGAAGTGAACGCCCAGGGGAAATAATGTCATTTTCTAACCCTTTGAGAAGAATTCATCCCTGTGAAAACTCTCTTTACAACCTGAAAGAAGCATTTGTATGCAGGATTACATTTCCTCTCAATTTTTATCATTTACTATACTCTCATTTTCTGTTCATGTAGCTCTGTTACCTGTTTGCGGACCTGTACAAACAAACAAATTCCAAAGAGACTCGCCGAGTGTTTGCTGAATTTAATCAATTTTTTCTGGATCGAGCTGCAGTAAGTTCCAAACGCATACAGAAAAGCTACAGAACACACAGTCTTGTTTTAATCTTCTGATCCTTGTTTTGATGGGTTGGGAGCCTTTGAAATTAGATCATCCACAGTGCTTTGTAACTCATTTTTTTTTTGGGGGGGGGGACCAAATCACTCATGTTTTGAAAGTAGATTACATTTTGATTTTACATCGAGGGAAATGGATACCGGTAATCCTTGACTTTAACCAAATTCATTTAATGACCTTTTGAAGTTACCACGGTACCGGAAAAAAGTGACTTATGACCTGTTTTCACACTTATGACTGTTGTAGCATCCCCACGCCCACAAGCAACTGGCATGCATTTATGACAGTTGCACTCTCCTGGGGTCATGTGATCCTCATATGTAACCGTCCCAGCTGGTTTCTAGGAGACAAAGTCAATGTAGTAAACCCAATTTGCTTAATGGTCACATTATTCACTCAACAGCCCCAGTGATTCGCTTAGCAACTGTGATAAAAAGGTCATTAAATGGGACAACTGGATTAAGAACTGCCTGGAACGGAAATTTGGGGCTCAGTTGTGGATGTAAGTCGAGGACTACCTTTATGGGAAAAGATACGTGTGTTACTCTGTATCTTGGAATGATGTACACTCAGTGGAAATCAGGAGTTAGAAGAATATTAATTCTCAGAATTAGTCAAAGTAAGAGTTTTCCTGAAAAGTTTTAACTTTTCGTTTTTGCAGAACCTGAAAGTCCCAGTTCCAGATGAAATTGCAAGTGATTTAGGTAAGTTTATTGAAAATAATCTAGATAGGATTGTTTTAGAACTTGGACATGTAATGCTTTTTGAGAAATTCCAATGAATTTTGTATCCATGTAGCATTTTTTGATATCAACAGGTATAACTTGGGAGGCAGGAAAAATTGTATTTAAGCTACAGAAGTGAAGCAAAAAAAAAAAAAAAGGTCCGCTAAATGCTTGGTTCTAAATAAAATGGATTTCCCCCTTTATCTGCAGAAAAGAGAAGGCTGGAATTAATTCCTGAAGAATTGCACCGCCACTGTATTCAAACTATGCAAGAAAAAGTGTTTCTTGAAGTACAAAAGCACCTTGAAGATTTTAGGTACATGTTGTTTATTGGTTGAAGTTTGTGTAAACTTTGAAGTTTAGTTATTGTTTATTTGTAGTGTTTTTGCAAATACTTCCTGCAAAGTATCCATTTTGAGGATACTTTGGGGTTTTGGGGAAATTACATGCTGCAGTGGTCAGGCTCCCAAGCACCCAAATTCAGATTATGTGACCATTTAGGGGTGCTATAGTGGCTGTTACTTTGAGAACTGGTCGTAACTGCTAGTTTTTCAACGTCACTATAAATTACCAAACAGATAGTTGTTAAATGAGGACTGCCTGTCTTCTTTCACCTAAGATAATGCATAATGTATTCTTTTTAACTGATTGGATTCACTGAGATACCAAAGGCATATTTAAGAAAAGCCTGCTGCATCAGTGGCCCACTTGCTTACAGTCCTAAAGGTGCCCCCCCCCCCAATTGCTTCCCTTCTTGTGCCCACAAGGGTTTCAAGGGTTTCTCGCTCTTTATTCTGTGCCTTTAGACAGAAACGCAGCATGGGCCTCACGCTGGCAGAAGGAGAACTGACCAGGCTGGATGCAGAACGTGTCCGGGACCGGGTAACCTTAGAGAAGGAGAGAGCGTGTGCAGAGCAGATCCTGACTAAAATTGAAGACGTGCTGTAAGTTTCCCTGAGGCAGACACAACCTTTTACCTGTCCCGTATAGAGGAGGGACCTTGGTGAGGAAGGAAATTACAGCATCTTTCCCCAGTGATGACTTTTATAGATAGATGCTGCGTCCAGATCATTGTGTTCCGTTGTAGCTGTTAGTCCAGCTCTTAAAGACGGAGCTGGGGCCCAGAATTTTTTTAATTATTTATTGTCACAAAGCAGAGCCTATGTTTTGCAAAGGAAAACAGAGCTTGACCAACCACAAGATTAGAGGTATGCCTGTTAATAGTTACAGCTAGCTCTGGTAGTTACATTCACGTGCAAGATACACCTTAGATTATCCAAATTCAGTTCCTTTTTCACGATCTGAGACTTTTTGCTGACAACTTTCAACAACAGAATGTAGAGTTTTTATGCACTCTACATCTGATAGTTGTTCCATTTATTATTTAACCCCCTGGCCACATTGCTATAGTAGCGTAACAGTTTGGGTTAAAGGACAAGCCAGTCTTTGCCAGTCTACATAAAAGTGAATATCAAACATTGAAACTCTCATTTTTTAAATTAATTTTTGCCTATTTCCTCTGCAGGATGTCATCTCAGCCTGTAGAAGAGGATAAGAGGTAATTAAACCCTAGTTATAATCACACTAAATCTTTCCATTCTGGTTTATATGTGCTGAACTGGTGGAGTCCTCTGTTGGCTGTTTAGGCAAATTACAATTATTTTCTGTATATTCTTCTCTCTTACTCTTACTCTGTTTAAACTAATACAATACAATCCGACAGGATCTGGGTTTATATAATAACAGACAAGGGATCTTTCATACTTATTTTATCCCATATCCCACTTTAAGAGACATGGCAGCGACTGAATTTAAAACTACATGCCTCCCTGTTTTTATGAGTATTATAATTGCTAGTATTCAATGAAGTTGCAGTTCAGTACTTTTTCGATCACATAACTTTTCTTTCAATTATTATTATTATTATATACTTTATTCATTGAACATGAAACTCAGCCAACTGAATATTCAACAAATCAACAATTTCAGGATAATAATGGTGTTGATTATTTCACTAATAAGATAATAGAAATGTTGGCGACATAATCATCTGTAGGTAGCTCTTCACATCTTCCTAAGGGTCATAACAATATAAATTGCTGTCAGTGTCAGAAATATATATTAGAAAAGAGAAAAGTTCATTTGCCATCCCTTCATTGAAGTAACTTGATGATGTTTTCCTGTTCTTCTGTTTGGTCTCATCTGCAGTTCAGCTATACAATATGTTGTTCTTACCTACATGAAGCACCTTGGTGTACGTGTTAAAGAGCCCCGGAACCTAGACCAAAAACGGGGACGGATTGGATTCCTGCCAAAGATAAAAGTAAAATGGATATTTTTGAAAAATCAGAATTTCTGTCCAGGCAGGGGTGAAATGCTACCCATTTGGGCCGGTTCACATGAACTGGTAGTTAAAAAATGCTTTAAAAAGTTCCCACGATTGCACGCCACAGCTGATTGTTGCACAGCTGATCGTCAGAACTTTTTTTAAAACTTTTTTTTTAGCATTTTTTATCTACCGGTTCAGGCAAAATGCTAAAAAAAAAGTTTTAAAAAAAGTTCTGACGATCAGCTGTGCAACAATCAGCTGTGGCGTGCAATCGTGGGAACTTTTTAAAGCATTTTTTAACTACCAGTTCATG